GAGTTGATTTTAGGCAAAAATTTGTCCCCTCTTCCATTTTCGCCTAAAATCAACTCTTGAAAAGATACATAATTAAATAGGAAGAAAAATATGACATTTTTCGAATTTTTTTAACATATTGTGCCGCCAAAAGTTAAGCCCACGTTTTTTTTATGTGCATAAAAAAAATTTCATTTCTAGTGATAATTGAAAGCCAAAAAGCCAAAAATCTCCGTGGATATACGATTCACCCAAACCAAACCAGATACCGCCTGGCCTAAAAATACATTTTAACAGACAATTAAAAAATTGTATTATATTTATTTTAATTAAGCTATGGTGAAAAAACCAGCTAGTTATTAATAAATATGGTCTCAATTTATACTTGCGAACGCAAGGTCCAAGTGTAGCTAGAAAACTAAATTAAAAATTCTTTTATTTAGTATTTTAATGTAAAGGGCTCTGTTTCAATATCAGAAATTTTTTTATCATATTCTAAATTCAATTTAAAAATCAAAAAATGTTGAAACAAATTGTTATTAATAATTTTTTTGTAGACATGAAATCGACAACTTTGACGAGTCAGACTGGAAAATCGAAAAATTAATTTCGTCAGACAATATAAAAAGTTGTTTTTGCAGTTCTTAAAGATAGGATCTTGAGAAAATCAGCTGGTTATTAATAAATTTTGTTATAGTAATTTTTCTGACATGTTCGAGATTGCAGACATTTTGAATGGCTCATATCTTTTGTCAGAGAATTTTATTTTCACATTTTATTTGAAGGTTTTAAGCTATTCAATTAAAAAAACAGTATCTATAAATTTTTCACGTCGTTAAAACGACATGTTTCGGAAAAATTAGAGGAAAAACGCCCCAAATCGAAAAAAGTCACAGAGGAAATAGGTGTCAGACTAGGCCTAATAAAGTTATATAATAAGTTTGGAGAGAGTATGTATCAATAAAAGTTTTGCCGACGGGCACTCTAACCAATCGATAAGCTTTTGAATAGGCATATCAATCTTGGTTATGAACGACCGAACGAAAATAAGACAACAAACTATTTCTATAAGCTTTCTTACGAACATATTAAATAATTCCTGATATGTATTGTTTTTATCTTTTATGTTTTCAAACGTTCTTTAATCTGATATTGGTTTTCCAGTTCATTACTCATAGTATACGAAGGGGATGGAGGAGTGCCCTACGTGACGGTTTCCAAGCCAGGACCTTGTTGCGCCAGTAACTTGAACTCGTTTTGTGACATCGATTGCACGCAAGCCTCCGAGGACACCAGCCGCGACCTGCCTTGCTACTACGATGCCGACACGTCGAACTCCTCTATCGATTATAGCTCCAGTCACGACGAGGTCTCCCAAGACTCTCATCATAGGGGTTTTGGAGAGGCTGCAGCTAGAGGGGCAAAGTCCAGCACGTTTTTCCCTATTTCGGAGGACACAGTTTTCCTGGATTCACCCCCGCCACCCAGTATAGCAACCTCGAGTCCTATATCGGTGGACAGTTGGATGATGTTTTCGAATAGTAGCAGCGAAGAGTACTCCTTACCGGGACATTTGACCGGTTCTAGCTCCAATGAAGACACTTCTGACTCAGATTTGCCTTCCCCGCACAAGCCCAAGAGGAACTGTACCTTGCAGTTTGGTGCCCTGGATCTGGAGGAGGAGGATGAAATGGTACCGATCATCAAAAACGTGCCTAAAAGGTTATGTGTTAAGGACAACTTGCCTTCCGGAAGTAGTTCGCGGTTTTCTAGGTCGGCATCACCGCCGGATGTAGACGTGAGATTGATAGACTTTGCGCACACCTCTTTCTTGAGGAAAACCGATACGGATGCCAAAAGTGTTCATGAAGGGCCTGATGGAGGGTTCTTGACCGGTTTGGACAGTTTGAAACGATTGTTGTCGCAGATTATTACCAATGAAGATTAAGTTGAAACATTCAAATGAAGAGGGCAACTACATGATGATGATTCTGGTTAAGGAAAATAGTAACAGGGACGAAAGGGATGAACCCGATTATTTTACTTAAAAAATCAAGCCTTCTGAAGTGACATGTGTAGGTATTTGCAATTACAGGAGGTTAACGACGATCGCAAATAAAATTTCGCTCATCTCGAATAAAACAAATGCTGCCAATGTAAATAAATATATCAATTTTCCAATGATTTTTATTTAATTGTCTTAAGAGTTATATTTTTATTTATGAATTTAACAGTATTCTTAGAGAATTTGTAACGTGGACCGTTACAAAGAGTTGAGGTAGCCTGTAACTTATTGATTATGGAAACTAGTTTACTTTAATCTGTGATTTTCTTTGTACATTTTTTAAAATAAAATGTGGAAGAGTGAATGGGCAATTTCTAGACATTCCAAAATTTGTGTAGAAATCCATGTATTAACACACGCAGTTTACTTCGATTTCGTTTGAGGTTGAAAATAGCTATAATAGAGTTTATTGTTCTAGATTGTATATTCCCAAAGAGGGACCACTTTTTATAACAATGTTGCCAGATAATTTTAATTGCCACCTTTTTTTTTAATGTTTAGGAATTTGAGTGATTTGTGGTTTTGTTGTACCTTTAATAATAAAACTTTGAAATAATTGTATATTTTTATTTATCCTTTCAATAACCAAAAATTAGAGGGGAAGGAAAATAATCGATGTGAAGCAAAAATTTTTAGTATACTTCTGCAAACAAATCACTAAAAATGTACACGGGTGATTCCATTTGTGAATATAGTAAAGTTTTTATGATGCTTTCAGAAACACGGTATTAACGCAGTTACATAACCTCAAAATTATTTCATTAACATTATGTGGAACATTTATTATTGGAAACAAATGGTACCTACTGATGCAAAAATAAGACACCTACAACTTTGAAACCCTAAAGGATATCAATCAAAATTTTTTGCATATTTAAGTCCTGTTCTATTTATACTGCAAAATGGTTACATTTGAATTATTTTTAAAAGTTGGTAAAACATTAAATGCGTTTTTTCTTGAAACAGGCAATGCTATCGAACAAAAATGTAAGAAATGTCTAATGAGTAGTTTCATAACAAAAAATGCAAATAAAAAGTTATGATTTATTCTTTATTCAATGAGATCATCCCTTCAAAGCTTCAGAATTTTGATGATTTTTTTCGTAGCAATCATTGAGCAGAAGTAGTTTAGTCTTAGTCTTGTAAATGATCTAAGTTTGTCAAATCGCAATACACTCGATAAAAGACTTTTATCCATTTGTTTTTCAAAAACTCTTAAGCAGAGAATATATTAGGCGGCGCGGTCCTGTCTCATCGCGGTCCGTGCTAGTTTCGATTGCGCGCGGTGGAGTTCCTCCCCATGTTTTATAATGTATGCATTCGCACTAGATGTTCCAGAGTTCGTCGAGCTCGCATCGCGTTCTCCCCCGATCTTTTCCAAAGAATCTGGAGACCGCTATCTACAGAGATAAGGCAGGACAAATAGGAATAGTCCCCCTCGATCCCAAATTATCGGGGCTACGTTTAACGCCAAGAATAATGGCGAGGGACCGCGATGCGATCGAGACGAGTTTCCTCTTCCATATAACTAATTTTTTTTAACTATTAAAACAATACCTAAATTACTTAAAGAAGGGCGCGAGCAGGATTGTGTACAATTGCCAAATGCGACTGATTTTGTAAAAGACCGCGATCAGCTCAGCTCAGAACGGACCGCGATTCGACGGGACCGCGACCGTCTTAAACCCGTATTTTTTTATAAAACGGTTGTCTTCAGCGACAAATACTAACAGTACCTTTCTAAGTAAAATTGAATGGAGTTTGGTCAAAAATGGCATGCATACAGTGCGACACAAAAAAGTTATGGTCATTTAAAAATCCAGGTGCGACACTGTATGTGGCGCCCTCTAACATTAAACAAGAAACTAAGTAAATATTTGAGTTTCTCATCATCATTATTCCCAGTTTCCCGAATTTCGTTAAATTGTCTTGTTATTGAATAAAAATAAAAAAAATTAAAATACCAAGCAAACATTTTTTTTGGACGCTTTATATCAAGAAACAAGCCGTTGCGGACTCATGTTCATATGAACTTAAAATTAGTCAAAGATTCACCCTTTAAAGTTTGTTCAAGTACTTAATAAACATCCTGTATTAACAAAGTTCCCTCATTAGAACCGACACAGGGTAGGTACATGTAGGGGTGTCCAAAATATTCTAATTTAACCAAACTTACTTATACACAAAGTTGCACTGAGGAGTTATAGCCCCAAAGTGGGGCCCTAAATATCTCTGCAACACTTTACCGCAGAAGAACCAAATTTGGTACATGATTTAGGTTTATTACTGGTCTTCTTTGACTATGATTTAAAGTTAATTGGAGCACTACAAGGTGTTCATTGGGGATGACTCACCCCTAAAATTGTTCAGAACTTTTTTTTCATTGACCTGAACTGAAATATTGTACTGATATTGTACCTGAACTGTAATATTAATTCACTTTAATTTTATGGGTGAGTCGGCTACTGTGCGTTTAGAATCAAATTAAAACGTGTTCAAATTTGGTATTGGCAAGTAGTTTTAGTAGCTTTCAGTCCTGAGCTCACCCCAAGCAATGTGTTTGATATGACGTAAAATAGATACACATCATTTTTGAATTTCTGCACCGGTATCCTGATCCTTGCGAACACTGTAAAAATTATTAATCGTCGTCCTTTCCTAGGAGATGCCTTTCCTAATCCTGTAGAAAATCCTTCTAAAAATGATTTTCGTCTACATTTAAATTTTGTCAAATCTGGTGTCCTTCCTTTATCAACGTTTCATACAGATCAAAATCCTTGAATCTTCCTACAGATCACTTATTTAACATCATTGCCAATTTCAATTTTCTACCAAGTGTTCAGCTATTTTCTTCTGCCAAACACTTTATTAAAGAATTACACATTTTCAAGGTGGTGCACAGTGGGGCAGAATCCCAAAAAGCTGACCAAAAGTCAAAAAATAAAATTTCTCATTCGGTAATTTTTACTGTTGGATTGACTAGAGTAATATCCCAAGTCTCAGAATCCATTACTATTAGGGTAAAATTCCCTATACCTGCTTCTTAAATCACTACAAAAACAACCGCTGCTCGAGCAACACCTGACTCGCGAGTAGGAACAGAAGTAATAGTTGTGTTTAAGTGGTTATAAAATTTCGTAGAGTTCACCGATTTATCTCTAACAAAATGGAATTAACTCATAAATGTACGTAAATTATGAATATATGTGTTAAAATACTCAATATTATTTATAAAATAGTAAACAAACTTATGTGAATTTTACGTTATAAAACGAAATAATAATTTAGTTTTGAAGAAAAAAGTTTAATAATTCTGCAGAATTCTGTCATTTAACTTATTGGACAAAAATAACAAAACTATTATCTGTAAACTAAAAAAAAATCAGCTGCCTACAAGTGCCTAACAACTTTTTGCATAGGTTTTTGTAAAATGTAGAGTAAAATGAATTTCGCCTTCTCTGGACGATGTAAGACATGGGAAGATTACAGATAAAGACGAAATTGTCTTAACTTCAGAAGATGGATGCTACAAATGAAAATTTTTCATCTGATGGTGATTTTTTTCTTTTATGAAAAAACTGGAATTTTATATTACAGCTTTGGCACGGGATTCAAATAAATTACTCCCGACACTTATTTAACGAAATATATAAATAGTCTAATATATCATTTGTCATTTTTACATCTTCTTCATGCTTGATAAATGTGACATTTCGTATGTCATAATCTTTTAATAATTCTTAATCTACTCGGAAAATCCCTATTTAAAAAATATTTCTACTTCTGATATGACTATATTAAATCCTTTACATTGAATGTTGTAATTCTGACTCCAAATTCGTTATCAGCGACTCCAAAAACCCCCGAGTAACAAATTTCAGAACGATTTTTAAAGATTTTGACTTGGCCAGCTTTTTGGGATTCTGCCCCACTGTGCGGTGGTCTAATTCCCCTGTGCACCCTGTTTATCATAAACGTTCTTAATATGCTAAATGCAGTCGTTTACGGCTACCCTGATTATTACATTGACCACTAACACCCGCACACGATTCCATCTTTTTTTAACACTTATTGAAGTGATTAAAATGTGAAAATAATAAAAACCCCCTTTCCCATTTGTATGTTTATGACACGCACTGACACATCTCAGCTGCAGACTGAAGTTGGGTTTAAACAGAATTAACGCAATCTTTGTTCTTTACATTCCTCAATGTTAACTCTATCTACTACAAATAAAGTTTTGAATTATTTGAAGCTTTCGATTACCTTGTTGACTGTGACGTATACAGAACCTTCATAAACGTTTACAAGCTATTTGACCGCCGAGCTTAGGCAACCAACATTGCAGGGCCGGTATGGAGAAATCCATCTTGGCATCACCAATATTTGATTTATTTATAATGAACAATGACAAACCGTTACGGTTTGATACGCTCGAGATGATGCGATCACAGCCGGTGAAATAGAATGGTATTTGGATGGTAGATACCAATATACTGAGTGTTGTAGTTCTGTGTTAAAGTCGATATTAGTTACATCGAGTGTACCCCAATGGTCCATTTTGGAACTCTTACTTATTAAGTATTCATAATTTATATTAATGACCTAGTTCAAGATTGCGTACTGTTAATAAACTCTCTTTAAATGCTAATAAGTGTACTATGATGTCATTTACCAGAAAACAGAAACCTTGTATAATTATAACGTGGTTGGCATTTCCCTTGAACGTCTTGATACAATAAAAGACCTAAGCGTATAATTCTAACATAAATTAAGTCTTAATTGTGTTGGAACACAATTCATTTAGCAAATAAAAACCTTGGTTTTTAAACTAGAATGAGCTATGGTTTTTCTAATACTCAGATGCTTATGTTACTATTCAATCTTGTTAGATCTGAGCTTGAGTAAGCTAGCGTTGTGTGGAATCCTGGATACAGTATCTTCTAATGAAACCTTGAAGATGTTCAAAGACGCTTCATAACATTACTTTAATTTGGACAGGATGGTATTTGTCCTCAAATAGAAATGTTTCAAATATCCAGTCTTCACGACGCAGAAATATGCACTCGATGAAGCTTTTTCAAGGTTTCTTTAATTATCACTTACTTATGCGTTGTGTGATTAATTAAGTAAAAAATCTCTTGGCAATGAAAGCATCAGGTACATAAAAAATGTTAGATAAACATCTCGATAAAATTGAAACCAGTAGTAGTGACATTTTTTTATTGTTTTTATCTATTAATTAAAACAAGTTAATTAAATCAATAAGTAGCAATAAGAGGAAAAAATGAAGCAAATGGGTATCTACATCAATTGTTTTTCATTTAAACAAGACGAGGTACGCACTTGGCAAATGACGCTGATACTTAGTTCTGGGGATATCATTTCGATCGGTGTTCCCTACTGTTTTTGCTTTGATGTACTTGAAATTTATTGCGGTTGGAAGTTCATACACAGGGCCAGTTTGAGGTACTTTTCTCTCACAATCAGTATATGTCCAGTGTCAAAATTGTATAACAAAAAAATATTTATAAGATATTCTATATTTTCGACAAT